ATTGCACCACCCGACGACATAGTAGCGCCACCAGGCGTGCAGATTTGGTCCGTGAACGTCATCATCGTTGATATTCCTTCAGATCCATTGCTGCGCACAAGCGCGTCGTAGACAGCTGGCATTGCGCATATAGCGCCGGTGATTTGCTTGATACAGACTAATATCTAAAATATATAGAATAAACAAGAACTAAAATATATATAATAAACAGGAACGGCCCAAGTATACTTCCCTTTAGCACAGCTCAGTCAGGACCTAGCATTTCTGACGAGTGCCCGTTAACGTACTGACGTCGATGCGACAAATAAGCGTTCAGAACTTCAGCGGGACATCCTCGAATCCCATAGCTTACTATCTTAGCAAGCAGTATTTTATTGTTTAAGCTATCCAAAGCTTTCTTAAAGTTGTTAAAAAGAGCTAATACTAGGCGTCTTCCTTCAAAATTCTGTACAATGAATTCTATCTGTGCCAACAGCGCAGCATCAGTTGATCTGTTTTTACTGAAGCCGTGTTGGAATGGAGTCATAACGTTTCGTCGCTCAATGAAACTAGATAAACGCGTCAAAATACGTTTTTCTAATACCTAAGGGAAAATAGAGAGCAGTGATATTGGCCTATAGTTTATAACATTATTTTTATCACCTTTCTTAAAGGCCGGGATCACCTTATCAACTTGCGGTTGAATATAAAAAGTAGATGTTGTAAGGCAATTTTTAATGTGAGTCAATAGAGCTCCAATCAGGTCGATAACATGTTTAATCGGCAACATCTGTAAGTGGTCTTTGTTTAACCCAATGCTGTTTTATGGCTAAAAAATATTGTGATATTTTTTTGGCTATCAACAGGAGAAAGGGAAACACTGTCTTGGCCACTCGTCGAAAGACATTTTAGTGAATCTACACTACCACTAGACTGGAAATGTGTAAGAAAAGATTTGTTGAAGGAATTTGCAAGTAAATAACCACGTGTTTCAATTCCGCTGCAAAAACAAAATGTCAGGTATCTCACTTTCAGATTTTAAAAGAGTGGACAGCTGCCGCCAAAGAGTGGAACTATGACCACTGCTACACCGGAAAACTTCTGTATCACCAACAATAACCAGGCATTACCGGAGAGCTTTGTAATCTTACAAAACGGCTTGAAGGATGTGATACTTCGAATGGACTTTATAAGTCAACACGGCGCTGTCATTGACCCGAGGTCCGAGTCAAAAACACAAACCTCAGAAAACGTGCTGACGACACCTAAAATGCCTAGGAATCACGCATTGAATGGGCTAAAAGAGCAGGACACCGTGCCGCCTTTCTCTAGAGTCGTCATTTCCGTTGGCACCGAAAAAGCCGAAAACCTTAAAGGCATCGTCGAGGGCGATCAGCACCTCTTTCTGAACTGTTAGATTTGCGTCGCAAAAGGCATAGATGAAATACGTGACGGCAAAGCAAAGGCGGTGCTGTCAAACTTCAGTCACGAATACAGGCACATTAATCATTGTACGACAATCACCTACATCGATGAATTCGTAGAGGCCAGCTATTCATTCTCCCTCTTCGACGCTACCGATACTTCTTTGATGAAGCGAGGTCCCGTACCAGATTTCGATGTCAACCCGAACCTTTCGAAGCGCAAGCAAGACCAGCTCAAGTCTTTGCTCTTGCAATTCAAGGACTGCTTCTCGTCATCATCGCGAATTCCACAAAGCCTCATCACGAAAGATCACATCGTAACAGAAGAAAGTGCCCGACCACTTCAAAAAAGCCCGTACCGAGTCTCGATGCGTGAACGCTACGCCGTGAAGAAATAAGTGGACGAAACGCTACGCGACGACATCATTCAGCCGTACAAGAGTCCGTGGGCGTCACCCATGGTATTAATGAAGAAGAAGGATGGAACCCTACGTGTTTGCGTCGAACCCCGCTGCCTGAACAAACTCACACAGGAGGACGTGTACCCCTTCCACGTGTAAACGACGCCCTGGACTGACTCCACAGTGCAGATTAGTTTTCCTCAATGTACCTCAAAACGGGCTATTGGAAAATTGAGGTTGACGAGAGAGATAGAGGGAAGATGGCCTTTTATCACACTAGATGGCTTCTTCGAGTTTGAGGTCATGCGCTGTGGTTTTCGCTCGGTGCCTGCGACGTTACGGTGCGTTATGGACACCATGCTGCTTGGATTAAAGTGGCAGACTTGCCTCTTGTTCTTACATGACGCGGTCGTGTTTTTCTTTAGCTTCGGCGAGCATCTCCGGCGCCTTGAAGCGGTACTTCAAGCTATCAACACCTCTAGATTTACCATAAAACCAGAAAAGTGCCACTTCTCGTACGAGGAGCTGTTGTTCCTGGAACACGTCATTAGCGATTATGGAGTCCATCCCAACCCGGAAAAAACAGCCGCCATTGCTGATTTCCCGCCACCCATTGACAAAAAGGCTCTACGCCGATTCCTCAGATTGTGTGCCTATTACAGGCGTTTCGTCAAACGTTTTTCACAGATCTTCGAGCCGCTAACTCATCTCACGAAAAGCAAGGTCGAATTCAGGTGGGAAGCGGCACAAAAGGAAGCATTTCAGGAATTCAAACGACGCCTCCAGACAGTTGCGAGCAATGTCTTTCAAATTTCCTATTATACGCAGAGGAACAACTACGAAAGCGCCACAGTGAAACTCGCAGTAAATGAGAAAAATGAACATTGCACAGGCCCCTGAAATTAGGAACTCTGCACGTACTCCCGTAGTGAGAACGAATTTACGTACGGGTAATCCTTACACATAATGCGGTGGTGAATGCTAAAATCACGCCAACATACTGTGATATATAGTAAAAAATACTCATTACACCGCGTTATACTTTCGGTGGCTACATTAGTGATCAGAAGGCTCTCAGTAAAGCGAAAGTAAACAAAGCAACAAACCATCTATTGCGCTTCCTGTCATCACTCACGTAGTTCGTTAGTCACCCCGGCAAAAGTAGGCTCTCAAACGACAGACACGCAAACACTACCGTAAATATAAACTGCAATTATTAGACGCATACAAGACAAAATAAACTAAGCAGGTAGACACGTTCAGCAGCAGACGAAATGCCATCAGCTGTTCGTTCAGCTGCCTGGGTTCGACTGTTGCCAGACTTGAAGGAGGGTTTCGCTAACTCTATCAGCACAAGGCTTGGGGAAACATCACTACCACTCTAAATGCACGTATTTTGCTGTAATGTCAATTTAGAAAAAAGAATAACTAGAAAAGGCGTTCTCTTAATGTACATATATAGGCAATTCTTAACCACAATTGCGAATACTCTCGTTATCAGGTGTTTTTCTCGGCGCATGCAGTTCACTCAAGTGAAGAAAGCATTTACAAGGCCTCCCTTGGCGAAGGAAGTGTGGAGGAGCACGCTCCTCACACATGAAACGCAGCGGCCCCTTGAGTGGAGGAGCACGCTCCACCTTGACTTCATCAAGTCGAGGGGAGCCCTTGAGTGAAAGAGCGTTTGTGAATACGGGCCTAAGAAAAAGATCCATTTCCGGCCCAGAACAGTGGTCGACGGTAGATGGGGGAAATGCCACGTTCCTTTCCTAAAGATTTGCTATCACCACGTTACACTACGTTCCGCGCAAACTGCGCCTACGATGTTCGAAAAGCTTCGAGGCTGTAGTAGATCATTTTGTTAAGATTACGCACACCTCGTGCGTAATCTTAACTGATTAGTCTGGAACTTACGTTGCCGCTAGCGATAACGCTATAATATTTGATGGCAAGGGTATAAATGCCGAAACGCTTCGCCGCTTGTCAGCTGATCGACTGCCGACACTCCGTTTGCCGATATCGTTGCAAGACTGCTACTGTAATCCGACTTTCCGTGTACTGAGAACAGGTTCGCCCAAATAAACATTTTATTATTTGACTCGCAGTGTGCTCCATTCGTCCACGTCTCGACCCCGTGACAATATACACGACACACATTGTTTGGAAATACTAAGAGCTTCAAAAGTTTAGCCCGTTTTCGTTATCAGTGGCGAGGTGACCTGACTGGCTCACGATAGGTGCGTTCTAAAGGTCGTCGCCTTCACGAAGCCCCTCCTGCACTGAGCGTGGTCTCTCCTGCGCGCGTGATCATCAGAGTCTTGATTTGGAAGAGGACGAAGGTCACTTCGCACACTACCATGGCTGTGTTTACGAAAGGATCGCACTGCTGACATGCGACGCAGGTAGAATTGTCACTGTCGTTCGCGCATGTGTGCCCATTTCGTGTATATTCACTTCTGTGTGAACAGCGCCTTTTAAGTGTCGAGCTGTGACAGTTGTTAGTACGCGCTCGTTCTGTGTATGCTAACTTCGTGCGTGCTTTCTCCTCGATCTGTGCGTTGAAAGTTTTAAGATGCATGCCGTTCCTAACGTGACTTCGCAGTTTGCTGCTGTTGCTGAAAAATATATACAAAAAGCGCTTAACTACCTCAGTAAGACGTTTCACTTTTGTGTTATACCGATTCCTATCTAGGGACATCAGCCACGTTTTTATTATATGCCTAGCATTTCGCGAAACCTGCAGTTCATTTTCATAAAACTGGCCCCTGGGCTGAATTGTGAATACCAATGTCAGACAATGAAATACATTTTGGCCTTGAGTGTAGGTCACTGATTAAGTTCACGAACTCCGAGCTTGGCTAGAGAAGCAGAAGCCTAGGAGCCCCCATTTTTCCTAAATTGTTTGTTGAAATGGGTGATCTCCTCAAATGGTCGAGGCCTTCAGCAAGTGGTCCCGTCCATCCTCATTAAAAATTGTTTTCGTAACGGGCCTGCCCATTATAGACCAATAACAACTCAAAATTCACAAGACGTCCGTGTAAATCACGACGCCCGACTCATTTCACTAAACAGAAAACTGCAGCAGAAACTTCGAGAACTCACCAACTGCTTAGCGTGACAGTGACTCCCAGAACGAGTGGGATCTGCCGAATATCATACCTTTTGAGCATATGTATGAAAACCGTGTTTTCTGTTGCAGCTGCATCCGCGGATACTTGAAGAACAAAATCGTCATACTCTGCACTCATCAGCTACAATTCCTGAAATCTGCGAACCACATCCTCGTCCTGAAGGAGGTAAGGTCCACATAGGCTACCAAGGCTGTACCATTCTAGGTTTGAAAGAAGTTAACATAGCTTTCTTGTTGGCGAGTGGAATACGCTCAAGGGGCCATGCAACACTTTCCCAAGTAGTCACGTAATGGATTGAGTAAAAGAGCTTATCGTCTAGTTAGCAGCTGACTGCCGCAACTTTTTTTAGTCTGGGCTGTACAAGCGGAGTTACGAAGATTTGTCGCACACCAGAATTTCTTTCTCTCTTTTCTTCTCCCGACGAAAGCGTTGGAAGCTAAGCAAACCGTCGTACGGCATAGGGAACAAAGGAACGACACGTCACGCGCACCTCCAGACTTTTAGCACTTCTTTTTTCCTTCTTCGAACGCGTGCTTCTCAATGCTACAGCGCGCGCGCGCCTAGACAGATCGTGGCCTCCTGCGGCAGCTACAGTAACTGTTGAGCGTGCCATGCTCAGGTAAGCCAATGGCAGGATCCTCGCACCGGTGACAGGCTGATTTTTGAGCATACAACATTATTTGTCGAGAGAAAAAAAGTGAATTTTAGTTGACTGAGTATGTATTGTATTTTGCAGGCAGTGTGCTGTGCATAAAATTTGGCTTGTGTATTTTCAGGAGCCTGAAATACCAATCGTCAGTTTTTTCTGACCATGCTCGAATAGTATTGCAGGGCACTTTGCAGATATTATAAGGGCCTTAGTACACAACAAATGCGGAACTGTGACGCTTTTGTTAGTTATTGATACATACCTTTCATGCTCAGTTTTGTACTTTTGTACAGTTCATCCTGTTGAGAGCTCATATATCAAGTTTCAACTTATGATAGTTAGGTAAACCTCTTTATACATTGTGAAGTTGTTTTCTATTTTAAAAAGACAGCATTCAAGAGTGGTCGTTGGAGCTACTAATTGCGGTCCAGCCTTCAAAATGAATCCTCAAAGCACTATTTAGCAGAAAATATGACTGTGTACTATACTGCAAGAAAGATTTACGTCGTGACAAGCCAAGAACAGTGCAACTTTTTTTGTGTGTCAAAGAACCCGCCTTCCCTTTTTTTTTAGCCGATGGTATCATTTGGTGAACGCGATGTCGTGACTGGGCGCTTTGCGCCTGCAGGCAACGCTTGGACCGAAACTGCTAGGAGTGCATCTACAGCGTGAAATTATTTGTTGCTCGGAATACCTTCCGTTTTAGTGATAATAAAACATTGGTTCTATTTTTTATTGTGATATAGCAAATATATGGACACTCTCGGCTGGATTTCGCAGCCGGCTTCAACGTCACCGTCACTCACCGTATGTGTAAACGTATCTATTAAATGAAAATGTAACAAAGAAGCAAACCAAAAAGATTTCGACGTGCGGAATCGAACTTACGATGTCTGAGGCGGGAGTGCGAAGTGTTAAGCACTGAGCCACGGAGGAGAACGTTTGTGAACGTTCAAATGGCAAGCTGTTGATATCTACCACTTACTGCTGCTGACACAAATATCGGGGGTGGAGGGGGGGGGAACTACAGCATTACCACCAAGATGGCGCATTGAGCACGCGTCACCACATGGTCATGACGCAGCAGAAGGGTGGCTAGCGGCGGCGCGTGCTCTCATATCCCACGTATAATTTGCCCCGCGGAGAGGAAGAAGTGGACGCTCGGTCATGCCCTTTTCTCTTGGTTGGGAGGGTCGTACGTTTTGGCTAGCATTCGGCTTTCGCCGGAACTATTCTGTTGTAGTTATGGGCGCACAAAGGTCACTGCAATAGTTGGACAATATCTGTTCGCGAAAAGAGTGCGTTTTTCAAACATAGCGAAGACACAGCTTATATACTTATTCGTGTTCATCTATACCTGTGAGTACGTTTTGTGCGCAATTTGTACGGGAGAAATTTGGGGCACATTTAGATCTGCTTGCCATTCTGCTCGTGACCTTCCAATTCTTTGTTATTGCATTCATTGTTTCGCCTTTGTAGCAAAGCTGTGCCTTTTCCATTCCACGTTGAAATACAACACTGCCATATTCGCTGTCAGCTGTAGTATTGCATTGTAGCTTTATTGCTGCGGTTGAATTAGTAGCTCTGTGGGCTTTCCCCCAACTACTTGATTCAGGTTTTGAACATTGGCGGTGCTTTTGTCACCATGGAGTTCGACGAGCTGACATGGGAATGTGCTCTATCGTTCTCAAATAAGGAATCTGGCCCATCACCATGGTCGTTGCGCCAATGGTACAAGAAAATGGGCAGATCCCACGTACAGTGAGAATCGATTATATTGTAGCGAAACGTCGGGGTTGTTCAAAGTTAGGCGCATCGGACGACCAGGGAGACGAATGAGTGTGGGTGAAACTCCACAGAGGCGATCGGTTAGAAGTCAACACGATGATTTCGGGGAGCACTCATTGGGGGTTTATTTAGCTAACGCAACTTCAATTTACAAAATGCACTAGGTCACGAAGACAAAACATAGAAAATGGTGGCATACCCCTCGGCTTGCATGGATGGTCTCCGGTGGTGAGATGCGCTGTTGACCCCGACTCCGCTCTCGTCAAAAAGAGCCCGAGTCGCTGGTTAAATAGGGTTTTTTTAGCGTCCCCGCTTGCGCGGACCAATCAGGCAAGCCGAGGATAAACAAATCAACATGAGTTTTCGTGGTTGCCTGAAGCCTGTCTCGCGACAAAATCAGTTCGCTTTCTGTACACACCACTTTCCGGTAAGCAGAGGCGACGCGCACACATTGTCTCAATTTTTGGCCTCTGGTCGTCCCGCGAAGTACCCCCGCTGTGTGCCTGCAGTCGTTTGCGCACGGGGTGCGAAGGGAAAAAATCCTGCCTCGCGACAAAACTGTGGCAGCTTCTGGAAACGGTTGCATTCCCTAAAATGGACTTGACGAGCTAACAAGTGCTCAAACTTTGGTCCCCCTTTGCCCTGGAGGACCGGAAATGTTGCTCACTCCTTCGAAGTGAGGGGTCACAGTTGTTAGAAGAAGGACAAAGGCACCTAATTTCTGCAGTCGGGTCCAAAGCATGGCGCGGTGCCGGCTTTGGCGCGAAGCGCACAGTGACCCACCAGACGCGGCCCTTTCTGTTCAGACTCATTCTTCCTCAAGGCGCGCTCCCCGGAACAAGTTAAACGGCGCCGATAACAAGGACATCGGGCAAAGAACAAACTCAAGCTGTAGCTGAAAAATAACGAAGTTTTCCTCGAGAAATTGCCCTCGCGACACCTCCCCCCTAAGAAAAAGAGTGTCCCACTCGTTTTATCTGCAAAACACGACAAGAAATTGACTAAATATACAGAAAGGTTTTGCATTCAACAAGTGTGTGAGATGCTTATTTAAAAACACTCATGCATGTGTATAAAAGGTGAGAAGCTTTAAAAAAATTACATAAGAACAACAGAAGAAAATACAAAACAAAATCATTTGGAACAGAAATATATAGGTTCACTCGTCGGCACTGTAATACAACTCAGTGTCCGTGTCGTAAGCGCTGACATTCTGTTGTGCGTTGTTACCACTTGAAAATGTCTTCCAGTCGGAGTAAAGTTCAGTGTCCATGTCGTAGCCTTCGTACTGCTGTACTGGAACACTGGTCCAGTACAGCAGGAACACAAACGGAGTTCTTGACCGACTCGTGAACCGCACTCGCGCACATCACCATTAGAGCCGCACTCACGCACAACACTTTGATAGAATCCCTGTTCATCACTCGTTGCACTGTTCCCACGCACAACACTTCGATGCAATCCGCGGTCATTTCTCCATGCACTGCACTCACGCACATCACCACCTAGATCGCACACCTCATGATTATCGTCAGACTCATCGTCCGCGTCGTCGGCATCGGAGCCCAATCGAACGTGGCAGGGCTTTAAACGCGCCGAATTCACAACGTCACGTTTTTTCCCAGTTTGGTGTACCACCTCCCAGTTGTTCTCGGCTACCCGGCGCACAAGACGGAAAGGTCCGTGATATTTGTGAAGAAGCTTCGTCGTCTTCCCTTTCGCCCGGGAGGGAGTCCACAAGTACAGCAAGTCGCCCTGATGATAAACAACACTTCGTCGCCTAGCGTCATCGCTGCGTTTGTTCTTCTCCTGCTGACGCTTCTCCCGTTCATTTACTATTTTTCGAGCCTGCCGCAGCCTGCGAGCCACTTTCATTGCATCCAGGGTGTAGTCGAATCCGCGTTGCGCGCCCGACCCTACATCCACCGGTAGTGTTGGTTCTCATCCGTGAAGAAGAAAGAAGGGAGTGAATCCAGTCGTCTCGTGGGGGGAAGAATTGTATGCAAAAAAAACGTACGGTGGAAATTCATCCCAATCGCGGTGGCTTGAGTAAACTTACATGCTGAGCATGTCAGCCAACGTGCGGTTAAAACGCTCGCACAAGCCGTTGGCCTGTGGGTAGTATGCTGTTGTGGTGGCATGCTCGCTACCCACGAGCCGGAATATTTCTTCGGTCAAGTTGGCGACAAAGTGCTGTCCACGATCGCTTATTACTTTCTCTGGGGCACGATGACGTAGGACGATTTGTTCGACGAAAGCTCTTGCTGCTTCTGCGGCAGTGGCCGCTGGACACGCGACAGCCTCGACCCATTTCGTATGGTAGTCGTTAATCACGACGATGTAGCGGTTCCCTGCTTTGGATTTAGTGAAAGGCTTAATGCCCACCTGCTGAAAAGGTCGACCTGCAGGTGGGGTCAGTTGGAGGAAACCGGCCGGCCTCCCCGGTGGTTGCTTTCGTGTCTGGCAGTCGGAGCAGGAGAGAACGTACTTGCTTACGTACGAGAACATCTTCGGCCAGAAATATCGGCAACGAAATTTCTCCAATGTGTGCTCGACACCTAAATGGCTTGCCGTGGTCTCGTCATGGCAGTACGTTAAAATCTCAGATCTCAAGCACTTGGGGACAACGAGTACCGCACGATCCTCCTGAAACCCTTCAGCTCTTCGATACACTACACCGTCGATCAACCGAAAGCTCCGTGCCGTTTTTTAGTTCTCCTGACAACGG